AAAATCTACTTAAAATATATTACAATAATTTGAAGATGTTGGGCTAGAGACCTACTAGAAATCTTCATAGACTTTTTATTTTAGGTCTCTAGTTACTGTTCGTTTTATCACATAATCGATTATTTACAGTCAATCAATACATAATATTTAAAATCAGAAAGTTTTGAAGTATATACACTATATTTACAAGAGAGAAAAAGAAGTGGGAATGTTCGTATTATATAAATTAATAGTAATGTTGTAGATGCATTTAATTTTACAATGACAATGTTGGGCACAATAGACTAAAGTATATGTCATTATATACATTAGAGAAGTATGTTTTATATATTGGTAATTGTGTATAGCAAAAAATGTTGTTTAATTCTCTTTTTAAAGGTGTTATAGGAGTTTACTTCATTAAGTTTTGTTTCTAACGAATTCCATACATCAACTCCTTTATTTGAGAGAGTGTGTTTTACATAATTTGTTCTTTTATAACATTTGTTGAAAGGTTATACTAAAACTAAAATGCGTCGGTATATAATTGTATAAATGAATATTTAGTTCATGTTTTTCCCTTCATAATTCACCCTTTGCGATGTTAATAGACCAGGAAAGGGGAAACCTGACTCGACTCAGAGTTATAATTAGGGTGAGAGACACGGTAAGTTAATTTTGACGCTGAATTTCAATCAGACATTTCCATTTTTCATTAGTAAATGTAATAAATTAAAATTGATTAATTTAATTAAATGACATTGAAGTTACGACATGCAACTTCATTTATGTTTGTGATTGATGTTCCTGTGACGCAGGCTATAGACTCTCTATCCGCCATGTAAAGTGTAGTGAAATGTATCTCATTGTAATATTAAAAAAAACTAAAGCCTCTGCGGAGGAGAGAGGGCTATAGATGTTCAAGCACTGAGATATTTTTAGTATGCAGCATATATTCGCAATATTGCAGCGTATATAGCACATTCAATGTTGGATTGCATCATACACTACACTACACTCAAATTTAATACTTTAGAGCACAATTGCTGCTGAATTCAGCGCAATTTGCTTTGTGTGCCGTGGTTTCTTTCTTTCTTTGTCTGCTTGCATTTCATAGTCAAGTGCGGCGGCTAAATAAACTAAGTGCGTCACATGCAGTTATATCAAACCAGACAAAAAGAGTCGCCGCGCAATTACGAAACATGTTTTACTTTGTAATATAGTGTTACAACGATGTTCATTCCTTTTGTTTAGAAAATCAAAATGCTTCACTTGTAATATATTGTACTATCTTTGAATTGCGTCCCCCCCCCCCTGTAAATTATTATCATATATATCTGATGTGGTGCAAAATGCTCTAATTTGCATAAATTATGCACGGTTCCAGGTTCCGGTTCCAGGTTCCGGTTCCTGTATCGCTGTATCGTTGTATCGCTGTATCGCTTTTTAGTAGTAGCCATAGCGTGATGTTCTTTCAATCAAGTGGTTTTATCTTGAAAGTTGAAATATAAAAGTAATTTAATCGCTGTTGACGGAAAAGCAAAATATGCATAAAAATACTTGAACAAAAGCTAACTTTACAAATGCATTTTATCCAACAGTTTGAAGTGTAAACTATTGTCAATGATTTTTAATTTACTAAATTTTTAAAAACTTGCTTTATATTTTTGACCTGATTTAAGGTCGCGGTCACACTAGCGCTTGTGCTTGCAGATTAGCAAAGGATTAGCGTGCTTGCTTGTGACGTCATTCAAGCAAGTGCTAGAATGTTAAGCAAGCACGTCGCGGTCACACTGAAAAAGTACTTATGCTTGCTTAAGATTGTAATGACAGATAAAGTGTCTTTGGTTTTTGGTAAATTTACATTACGCAATTCTTCGTTATATAAATATATATAGACTTAAAATGGACAGAGATTCTTTGCTTTTATTTCATTTTATGTATCATTGTATCAACGTTTTCGCGTTTCGATGCTAAAAAACGAAGACCGCTTAATCGCAGAAGGCGATGAATGTACCTTTTGCTTCACCAAATGAAACAAAACATGCGACGCTTGCAGATGCTTCAGACGACAACAACATTGCTTTTTTATCGCGATCGCCAGAGTGGTCAACCCAAGAGTTGATCGTGAGTTTTGGGTTATTCCTAGACCAAGAGTTGGATCGCACTTTCTTTGTTTTGCTTTCGGTTCGGAGTTGAATCCATTCTGATTTTTTAGAATACGGAAAGATAGTGCGACTGCCTGCAATATGTGTGTCTGTGTTTCGAAATTGGTGCGTTAATGCAATTTTTGGTCTTATCGGGATTTCTGATGAATACTTAAACAGGGAGCACTTGTATTGGTCGCGTTCTATAAATCCTCTTGAGATATGCATTCTAGCACAGTTCAGTCACCGTCCCTACCGTGCTTGAATCTTGCTGCGGTACTTTTGTAGTTTCAAGCAAAATGTATCAATTTTCAAGCAAGCACGGATTATGCGTTTTACGCGATCACACTATCAAACGTGCTTGGAGGCTGACCTGTTGACAGATTCAAGTAGATTACGTGACCGCAGCCTAATAGCATTGCGTGCTATCTTGGTATGTGTGTATTGATATGTGTTATTTCACTTGTCTGCGTAAATGCGATTGCGTTTCTTAATTTCCGGCCTAAATGTGGAGCCATAATACAGCCAAAATCAGGCCAGACAAAATTATGGCCTGAAAAATGTATGGCCCAGTACCGGTGAAATTTGGTTGAAAATGTCACGTTTGAGACACGCCGTGTATCGCTGGTGTATCGTCATGCTCATTATCGCTCAAAAATGTCACGTTTGAGACACGCCGTGTATCGCTGGTGTATCGTCACGCTCATGTATCGCCCAATGTCTCGCTCGAAAATGTCACGTTTGAGACACGCCGTGTATCGCTGTGTATCGTCACGCTCATTATCGCTCATATCTCGCTCAATTTTATGGCCCGAATATCGCTCATGTCACGCCATGATTTTCGGTACGGGGGCCCTTAAGGAATTCACAGGGTCCCTTAATGAGGAATGTATGGTTAAAAACAAATACCCTTGTTGTACTTGGATAGATTTAGTGGGATAACAATGCATCATATAGTTATATACTGTTTTGTCGTTCATATTCATTATCTACTTATGGACTGATGCAATCGCAAATTTCATAGTGTGAACTGCACTATTGTATTCCAGTGAACCCTTGTGTGTTACCGGCAACAAAAATTTCTTACGTAACTCAAAAGACAGTGTATCTCTGTATGGTCATATCTAACATTTCAACGTGGGAGTCTATTACACATATAAGTCTATTTACGAGCAAAATCCCTAACGCGTCACTGCACCCCCCGTGCTGGAAATTACATGCATTGATGATTTCTTTCAAGCAACAATTGTGTTGCATTGTGTAATGTTTTGCTTCAAGCAGAGACAAGTCTTTTTATATCATTCAAGTTGTTTTTGGCAATGTTCCCTTTCATGGCTATAAATATAACGGGGCCTAAATTTAGGCAATGTTTGCCAGAGATTGAATTTTCTGGTTCATGAGAAAACCTATATATAAATTTCATGCCAATTGAAGAAGAGAATCTTTCGTATGTTCTATAACACGCTCTCAAAATTAATGAATATACTTTTAACTACTTTCAATGTAGATTAATACAACTTCATTGTCTAAATGTAATCTAGAAACTTTTTAATCCATTAAACATTAATTATTGAACTTGATTGATTTATACTGGATAGCTCTATTAGTTCTAAACTGTTCTTCCTAAAGGTCCGGTAAAGATCATCTGTAATTGATCCAGTGTTACTACAGGAGGAAACTTAAACTAAACTAACTTTATTTATACTGGATAGCTCTATCAGTTCTAAACTGTTCTCCTCCAATAAGAATGATCTCTTATTGATCCAGTGTTACTACAGGAGGAAACCTAAACTAAACTAACTTTATTTATACTGGATAGCTCTATCAGTTCTAAACTGTTCTCCCTATAGAGGTCCAGTGAGGATCATCTGTAATTGATCCAGTGTTACTTCAGAAGGAAATCTAAACTAAACTAACTTTATTTATACTGGACAGCTCTATCAGTTCTAAACTGTTCTCCCTAGAGGTCCAGTAAGGATAATCTCTTATTGATCCAGTGTTACTACAGGAGGAAACCTAAACTAAACTAACTTTATTTATACTGGATAGCTCTATCAGTTCTAAACTGTTCTTCCTAGAGGTCCAGTAATGATCATCTCTTATTGATCCAGTGTTACTACAGGAGGAAACCTAAACTAAACTAACTTTATTTATACTGGATAGCTCTATCAGTTCTAAACTGTTCTTCCTAGAGGTCCAGTAAGGATAATCTCTTATTGATCCAGTGTTACTACAGGAGGAAACCTAAACTAAACAAACTTTATTTTTACTGGATATATCTATCAGTTCTAAACTGTTCTTCCTAGAGGTCCAGTAAGAATCATCTCTTATTGATCCAGTGTTACTACAGGAGGAAACCTAAACTAAACGAACTTTATTTATACTGGATATATCTATCAGTTCTAAACTGTTCTTCCTAGAGGTCCAGTAAGGATCATCTCTTATTGATCCAGTGTTACTGCAGGAGGAAACCTAAACTAAATTAACTTTATTTATACTGGATAGCTCTATCAGTTCTAAACTGTTTTCCCTGATATATTGTTCTCTTTATTGATCCAGTAGTAACAGAAGGAAACCTAAGTTAAACTGTTCCCCTAGAGTCCAGTATTGAAATTATATAATCTACAGACAACAACATAACCCCAGGAATCGACGGTTGAGGGGACTAGCTACAGGCTATATACTGTGACATCACCTTGGCCTTGCTATACCTATAAATTTCTAAAGAATGACAGTTTTTGTCTGCGGTTACAACACAATTCCTTATATGTTGAAAGAATTTCGATTTGGATTGAAATGTTTTGGCTTGAACGGATTTTTCATTCTTATTGTTCAAAAAGGTTAGAGTAACGGATATAGAGATTGTTACAAAATATAAACAAGGCTATATAGTTTAGCAGTTATTTTTAACCAAGCTTTTTAGAGAACGCCACTGCAGTTGCTACAACACGCTGACATAGTGGTGTACGTGTATGTTAGTAGCCTACAATGAAAACATTTCAATCCGTAAACGTGCGACAAAATGACAAAGAAGCTCCTTCACATTACCCTCAAATCTCAATACATGACGTTTGTTTTTCTTTTTATCTGACGTTTGCATTTCATGTTTGAACTGCCAGAGATGCCTCCGTCACTTAAAACACGTCCTGCATGTACGTCAGGATGAAAAACACATTTTCCTTGGCTATTAAAAATGCCTTTAAAACGTCAGTATATAGTCTATAGACCATGGATAATTTGTCTTGATAGACCATGTCTAATTATTCCCTGTCTGAACGCCAAGATCTAAGAACTTAGTTTAGTTAGTTAGGTTTCCCCTTGTAATAACACTCATGGGTCAATAAGAGATGATCCTTACTAGACTTCTAGGAAGAACAGTTTAGAACTGATAGAGCTGTCCAGTATAAATAAAGTTAGTTTAGTTCAGGTTTCCTCCTGTGTATAGTAACACTGGATCAATAAGAGATGATCCTTACTGAACCTCTATAGGAAGAACAGTTTAGAACTGATAGAGCTGTCCAGTATAAATAAAGTTAGTTTAGTTTAGGTTTCCTCCTGTAGTAACACTGGATCAATAAGTGATGATCCTTATAGCCTTCCAGGCAGAACAGTTTAGAACTGATAGAACTATCCGTATCATTAAAGTTAGTTCAGTTTAGAGAGCAGTTTAGCAGTGTCACAGTGCATGACAGGCTATTTACTTTGAAATGAACTGAAGAACTTATTTTGGCAAAACACTTACCAGCTTCGGAATTACGCTCAAAAACAATATAGTCTCGACTTGATCTTTCCAAAAAGTAAGCGACTTGTAGCCCTGAAAAGATGTGACATGAATTAGAAATTAAAAACTATTTTACAATTAACTGGAACGGTGTGTTCCAGCGTAGCCGTAGGTTGTGACAATAACACCATAAAGCAGTGGGCTAGTACTAATTCCAAAGGTCGTAGGTTCGATTCCCACCGTGGCCAGGCATATTTTTCAAGCTTGTCTGGTGTGGATATACACTCAGAGTAACATCACAAGCATCATAACACCAGAAAGATTCACGTTTACGGAACCGCTCATTGTAAACGGGAAAGTCGATTTTGAGCATATTAAGTTCCACACGATTTTTACGGCTAAGTTACTTATGTATGTTTCAATTTAATATACAAATTGTTCGAACTGCTAACGGCTTGGCATTGACCTTAAAGTGCGATTCAACTTTGCTGTTAGCCGCAAACGCGAGAATGTTAAGAGGGCCTCTCAGTAAAATCCACCCACTGGTACTAAAGTTAAGTAATCAGGAATAAAACTCGTCTGCAAGCAATTTTCTCAAAAGTTATAAATCTCCAAATTGGGTCTATTTTTAGCTGTTTGTTTACATTCGCGTGTTCGCTGATCAGCGACACTAGTAATTGAAGAGTTAAAATAAGCTGATTTATTACCCAGTAAACTTTCTTAGCTTGTTCACAAGATTATATACAATTTTGTGAAAATATAATTACAATATATACAAGCGATCGTGTACAGAACATTCTTGAATTCGAATTGCTTTACATTTATACTTAACTTACACTTGCACTAATTATACTTACACACACAGTTGTACGGTTACAACGATTCTGCTGATGTCTGCGACCGTGATATATCTTCTAATGTTATTAAATATATATTGGTAATATAATAAGAACTTCGTCAAAAACATTGACACAATACCATAATCTCCTGATTATGACTTTGATCTGCCGCTCCCACGGCGGGAGGTGCATGTCTGAACGACCAATGTGAGTTGAAAACTTACATAAGTGTCTCTGTGACTCTGTGCGATGTGTAGGTCATGAAATAGTGCTACAGGTAATATGGTTTAATTCACTTTGCAGAAACTCGCCTGATTTTGACCTCGCTAGCTCAATATGATAATCAGAATCCTGTTTAGCCGAAGGGTTGCTATTTTTATAAAAATGCGTGTACTGACCCAAGTCTCGCCCGATTAGACAAATTTGGGTAACGTTTGTTTATACCCAATTCACAACTTTATATAACACATATGCCTAGTTACTATTGTTCTAGATTACAAAAGCATAAAATAAAATGGCAACCGGTCCGCAATGAAACATTTTTAGCCCACTGATCTGAATTTTAGCCGGTCAATAATAAAATGGGGGCAAACGCATGCGTGTCAACCGCGAAGTTCCAAAGTACATTTTTTAAACTTTTTATTTACGGCGTTCCATTTATCCAGTTTTGGTTTCAAATTAAGTTCACTCCAATAACTGGTGAATTATTCATACTTCGACACTTATATACTATATAACAAAACACTTATTTACTGAGACCTCGGGAAAGCAGTGTGTTTTGTGCCCTTCGACTGCCGTTGTTGCCCTCGAGTTCGCCTTGGACAACAACGGGTAGGATTAAAGTGCCCTGCTCTGGCAAGTACAAGTTCACTCTCGTTGATGGTAAGCCTCGTGAGGTGACAACTTCTGAGGTGATTACAAATGTCTTCATTACACAATTTGTACAACTTTCTGTATTCCCCGGCTTTCTCCGCATGCAAAATTCCCCAGGCCAGCAAACAGGGACGAAACTTGAGGGCGGGGGGGGGGGGTGACACCCCCAAAGTACAAATCATCTGGATTGGCAGGGCAATGAAGATTTTAAAAGATAGAATGTAGAGTTATTAAGTAGCTTCCAGAGGGAATTGAATAGAATTTATAGACCTAAATTTTACAGATATTGGTAAAAAATATGGGTTTCATGCATGTTTTAACATGAATTTGTCCGAAACAATTGAATGTGCGGAAAAAAAATTTTTCGACCTCCCCCCTCCCCGCTGCAGGGCATTTTTGCTGCAGGGCATCATTGGCTTTCGCAGGGCAATTCTAGCAGACCCCCCCCCCCCATTAAAAGGGGTTAGTTTCGCCGCTGCCAGCAAAGGAACAGTTCTTTTCCATGACTCAAGCATGCACAAAGTAAAAATAGGAGATGCTATTAAAAATAACTGGCAAGCTAGTGTTGCAGTTCTAGTGTTCTACTTGTGAGAATGTAGATTTCAAAGTCAAAATACTAGAACTTTCCCACTTCCGCTTTTGTGGTTTGTTGTCTCTTAAACTGAATTTCTGTTATTGTAGCGGTTAACAAATTATAGGGAAATACGACGACATAAGTTAAATTTCGAAACCTTTATGCGTTCATATGCAGTGAATCAAACGAAAAATGCATCCTTTGTTACAAGGTTTTATCTCCATATTTCTCCATAATTCGGCAACCGCTACGTACAATATTAAATACAAAACAAAATGGTAAATGACAACAGACTACAAAAGCGGAAGTGCGAAGGTTGTAGTATTTTGACTGCAATTATGTACAAAAATATGTTGCATCCATGCAGCAAGAATTAATGTCCGACCTTTCCGGCAAAATTTCCATTTACAGGGACAGAAAAAGATTACGAGACGAGTTGAATAGAAAAGTTAAAGCACCGAACACTTTTTATATACAGCCAGAGATACTGACAGCTTTGAAATTTATTCCTGATTACTTAACTTTAGTAGGTATACTTTCAAATTACATGCCTTTTGAACTTCAGATAGGTGCCACTTTTGAGCTATTTTAAGTAAAATATGAGCAATTTTGAGCCTCTCGTCCCCAATCTCCAGACTGCAGAGTACGGCAAGTGCACACCCGAGTTTTTTTTTGGCCAATGGTATTGCACACTTAAACATATTTAAAATATTTTCCAGTTTTGTCAGGCATTAAAATAAGGACTTCTAAGACAAGTGTAATATAACAACCATCTGAATATCGGGAACGCTGATTCATGAGCGCAAATGAAAAATGTCCATTAAAGTTTCGAATTTCTATCTACAGCAGAGTTTTGCGATCATCAGGTTCAGGGGCGTAGGAAGCGGGGGGGCACGGGGGGCACGTGCCCCCCCAAATTTTTTTAAAGGACTAAAAGTGCCCTTTTTTGTGATAAAAAGTGCCCTTTTTGTGTTGAAAAGTGCCCTTTTTTGTGAGGAAAAGTGCCCCTTTTGTAGAAGCTAATGTCGCTGTAAATACTAAATTAAAACAATAGGTGCCGTGTTTGTGTGGAAATTTACAAATTTTTTTTAAAAATTAGGTCACAAACATAAATTTCGGTATGATACGACGGAAAATTTTCCTCAGGAGAAATTTCTCTCCCCCCCCCCCGTCGACAACATTTCCGGGGAAAATTTTTTAGGTGCCCTTTCCGATAGTAATGTGCCCCTACAAGCCGGTGCCCCCCCAAACTCCAGGTGCTTCCTACGCCCCTGATCAGGTTGTTATGATTAAACAAAACCGTATAGCATGTAAGCTTGGGCACAAGAGAACTTATAATTGGTCCGATTTCCTCGAGGCGCCACCATGGTTGGCGCCGAGCGGAAAATTTTTGAAATTTGGAGTCCCTACATTGTCGGAAATGGCATTTTCGAGTGAAACACTTTCCATTTACAACTCAATTACAAGGACATGCACATTTTCCTTTTACAGGACAAAAAGTGTGTCAAAAACACGCTATTTTGTACATGTTCATAATGACTTTTAACTCCGATCGAAATATATATTCTTGTTTGTTCGTCAGAATTTGGACCACGTTTTGTTTTCCTGAGAGGCAGAAATTTTAGTTATTTGTACAAATAAACAATCATTGTTTAATATCATTAGAACATGCAGCTATTTACAAGTGCACACTTGACTACGTTAACTGAGGATTGCACACTTGCACACCTGAATTTTTGTCTTGCACACCCGAGATCTCGTCGAAAACTGCCATACTCTGCAGTCTGGCCCAATCTTGAAAACATAGTTTCGTAAAACTATAAAAAAATCGTATTAAGCAAATAAAGTTGTTCAATCTCCATGAAAACGAGAGTATTAGTGCTAATCTTGCATGTGAACAGTAACTGGAGGGGATAACGCATCATAAAGTTTTTAAAAAATCAGATGAATTATTGTGAAATTCCCTTGATTTCCGGTCTGAAAATATTCTCGCAAGGTCAAATTTCAACATGGGCTATAACTCCTATAAAACAGAAAGTTGAAACGTTCTGAAAGAAGCTCGATTAATATTGACCAAAGTCTAATTCATATGCAAAATATGAGCTAAATCTATTTTTCCTTCCCCAAACCAGTGGGTGGATTTTACTGAGAGGCCCTCTTAAGGTCTCGAATCATGCTCGCAATAATTTTCAAGCTTTTCTGTGTTGTGTAATATGTTTCATTCGGCATGGAAACTCTCTTTAATACAAGAAACGTGTCGCTAATTGATACATGAACGCCTGGTTTAAATGTTTCAATTTTTCGTCAACAAATTATCAGATTGAATAATTTGACAAACCTCCAGGTCCAGCTCCAACTACGCAATATTCATGATGATTTTCAAACTTTTCAGAAAAACTTGTGAACGGACGGATGAAAAACAATAAAACGCCAAAAAGCCAGCATTTTGAAGCCATGTTTTGCACAGACAGCTTTGCTCAGCACTGACGCGTTCGTAAAGCACTCTGCACATTAATAGTCTACGCACAAAAGGGGCGGATCTAGCTTAAAATGTGACCGTATCATATTCCTAGGTCTCGCATAACTAGGGGGGTCCGGGTGGATGCCCCCCCGGAAATTTTTTGAAAATTGAACCCCGGAAATGCCATTTCCTGCGTTCTGAGCCCATGATTCTGGCATGTTATTCTGGCATGTTGTAAAACATGGACTGGACCTTGGACTGGACTGGACTTGTAAACTATGGACTGGACTTGTAAAACATGGACTTGTAAAACATGGACTTGTAAAACATGGACTTGTAAAACATGGACTTGTAAAACATGGACTTGTAAAACATGGACTTGTAAAACATGGACTTGTAAAACATGGACTTGATCTTCGAGCGAATTTATTATCGATGATGTGTTTCTCTATACAGTATGTACACCTATATAGAGAAACAGGTAAAAATACACGAATTATTCTGCTGTGCTCGCTTGCCCTTGCCTCCACCTTATTTTGCCCCCGGAATTGGCCAGATAATAACGAAATAGATTCGGGACCGAGTCAACATAATTTAACTTCGAAAATATGTAATCCTTCTTTGCATATCTATGTTAAATAGTTTTTTATTAATTAACTAACATTTTGACAAAAAAAACTTCCACCAATTTGCATTTTCTATCATATCTAGAATCGGTTGTAATTAAGCTCTAAATTCAGTTGCAAAACATGAATTTATCTGACACCGGTCCCATAAATACATTTCTAGGAAATGAGTAACATGTCTTAGTGATAGGCATTATTAACTCGATCTACCATACTATATAGCCTAGTGAGTAGTGTACATGCACGGAGGGATATTAATCGTAAGCCGTTTTTCTCGGCCAACTCCAATATTTAAAAAAATAACGTAATGATCAAATTTTGAATAGTTACAATAATAGTTCAATCGCAAAAGTTGGATCTCTTGGCCTTGAAAATCATTGACTGAAATTCATCCTCGAGTTCCCAGATCATAACATGTATCTTGATTGACTGTGTAATGTCAGTTGGCAATTTCCGTTTTGGACATTACTACAGCCAAGCTTTCGTTTCACACGGATACGACTGAATAATTTAATAATGGATACCAGTAATATTTGTTAGGCACTAAGGACAATGAAATGTTTTGTTATGAGTTTCGTTTTGTTTTGTTTAATGGACCTTTCACCTTTTGACTAAAATTTAGATCTCAACAAATCTAGACAAAAATTTTATCACAGCTTGAAAGAGCATCACAAAATTAGTAATATTCCAAAGTTTCATTGCGAAATGTTGTAAAATGCGGATAATAATTATAGCCTTGCGAAGTTTGCCATTTTCAGTCATTTTGTATTACAAACGGGAAATACATACCCTTTTTCCGAAGGAGGTATGTATTTCCCACGCGTAATACAAAATGACTGAAAATGGCAAACTTCGCAAGGCTATATTATCCGCATTTTACAACATTTCGCAATGAAACTTTGGAATATTACTAATTTTGTGATGCTCTTTCAAGCTGTGATAAAATTTTTGTCTAGACTTGTTGAGATCTAAATTTTAGTCAAAAGGTGAAAGGTCCATTAGTGAACTATGTCTATGGAAATTTATGTTTTGCAACTGAATTCAGCTTAATTACAACATTCTAGCTATGATAGAAAATGCATGCCATGCAAACAGTGGAAGTTTTTTTGTCAAAATGTTAGTTAAAAAACTATGTTAGATATGCAAAAAAGGATTAAATATTTTCGAAGTTAAATTATGTTGACTCGGACCAATCTATATTTCGTTATTAGAAAATATGCTCCAAAGAGATCTTTCTCTTCAGTGACACTGAGAAGACGAATGCGTCGCAATCAAGAACCCCAATACATGTAATACAGTACTGTATAATTTGAAGTGTAGCAGTGGCGTAGCCAGACCTTCATTTTTGGGGGGGCGAAGCGGACGCCGAAGGCGCGAGACCATCTATGGAGGTCCGGGGGCATGCACCCCCGTGAAAATTTTGAAATTTAGAGTCCCTGAAATGTGATTTCAAGCATTTTGGGGGTGAAATCTTGCAGAATTCCGAAGATTATAAAGTACGCTCTAGGGGGGTTCGTGGGCATGCACCCCAGGAAAAATTTTAAAATTTAGAGTCCCTGAAATGTGATTTCAAGCATTTTGGGGGTGAAATCTTGCAGAATCCCGAAGATTATAAAGTACATCGAAGACATAAATTTTCCCAGACATTTCTAAGTTTCTACTCGCTTTTATATATGATACAGAATATGTCTGAGAAGAATATTCATGTTATCATAATGCATATACATGTACATCTAAATTAAATCTATTCCTCTTGGAACCACATCTACAACTGTTTTAACGAGATTTTAGAAATCAAGTTCTTCCAGTATTTCGTCGTTTTCCTCAGTCGAGACGTACTTAATCCGTTTCAGCTTCGAGGATGGAACCTGTACCCCCCCCCATTCCTCTACGGATTTAGCCTTTTTCAGAGAATAGTTTTTTTTGCGATTGGGGGGGCGACCGCCCCCCCTTGCCCCCCTTGGCTACGCCCCTGAAGTGTAGTGAATGTGATAATACTATACCACGCACATTTTCATTACCGCATGATGTGATGGCTTAGTGGGACTGGATTACATTGTGTCACTATTTATAAGGTTGATTTCTTGTTGGAACACTCCTTAAAATGCTGGAAATAGCCTATCTGAGATTCAATAAATCTAAAATTTTCTGGGGGATGGCCCCAGACCGGACCCCTCAAGACGGCTCGTACCTTCGGTGCTCGACTCGGTTGTCTCAGAATCCTAGTTACGGGCCTGATCTGCTGCTCTATGACGTGCACTTATTAGTTAAACCATGCATATATATGCAGGTTTCTTCAGGCCCCCGCGAAATATGTCCCCCCTCCCCCCAAATTACACATCCTTAAAAGAGGCCCTGTTTGACAATGATTTAAGAAAGCAAATTAACCACAGTCATGTATTCACCAAAGCAGTAAATTAAGAATTTGGCTTTCAAGTTGACGTTTGGCGTATAAATTTCATACTTGAACTGCTACGGGGGCTTGTAGTCGTTGAAGCATGAAATTTATACGCCAAAAGTCAACTTGAAACGCCAAATCTTGATTTACTGCTTTGGTGAATACATGACTACACTGTTAATTTCAAGGAGTTGAATCAACTCCAAAAGTGTTATTTTGTTGCTGTTTTTTGCGACAAAATAACACTTTTGGAGTTGATTCAAAGTTGCTAATTACCACAAGTTTAATAATTGTTTTATATATTTCAAAACTGGTGTAAAAGCTGTTATAATAGAGTTGTAAAATCAAAAACTTCGTCAGCGGTTCGACGTTTGCCGTAAACGTCAAGCTTAAGGTCTCTATTGTCTGTCCAATTCCGGGGGCAAAATAAGGTGGAGGCAAGCGAGCGCAGCAGAATAATTCGTGTATTTTTACCTGTTTCTCTATATAGGTGTACATATAGAGAAACATAACATCGATAATAAATTCGCTCGAAGATCAAGTCCATGTTTTACAAGTCCATGTTTTACAAGTCCATGTGTCGGAGAAAGGCTTCAAGAATCCCCAACAAATAACACTCGAAGAATCTTTTTGTTTTAAATCTATTTATCTACTAAAACCCTTACAGAAAGTCCTCAAAATAACAGTTTGTTTTTCACTCCGAATGTTTTTACTAGCTCTCGTATTATTATTCACGGCCCTCCTTATTGTCTCAGTCCGAGACCTCTTCCGGTCTCCGCGCGTCCTAATAGTATAATGTAAACTTTCCCACACTCTCCCCCTATTGGACTTTCATTAAAGTCAAATATAAATTGTTAACTATGAAACTACATAAAAGGTTCACTGTACGATCTGGTTCGATCTAAACAAACCATCTATAAACGTTCAAAATTGTTACTAATGTTCCTCTCTTTCTTCTTCCGCAATGATCCTGATGTTTTCATTAGCAACGGCTGCTGCGTGTCTTCTTGGTCTGAACTCGCGAGCTGTAGGATCTAAATTCTTCTCCGGTTTCTTCCTATCACAAGATAGCTCCATAGGGTACAGGTGTTGGATGGTCCTCTCTAAGTACGATTTACCAGCTCTTAGTCGGACTGCTCGAACGCTCCCATCTCTACCTTCGATCAATTTCTCGATGACCCCGATTTTCCATTTTCCTTTATTCCGCTCGTCTCCTTTGATGAGCACAACATCTCCGATTTTAAGTTGCATCTCTTTCGTTCCATTCTTCATATTATGCCTTTCTCTCAGGGCTTTGAGATAATCAGACGACCATCGCGACCACCAAGCTTCTTTGCACTTCTTGATGTACTTTGCTCTCTTTCTTAGTCTCAGGTCAGCATCGTCTTCTGTGAGGTCTAGGCTTTCTGACTCCGGAATTAAGTTGGGTCGTCCAATCGTCATGGTCTGGGGCGTTAAGATTGGTAATTGTATGTCATCCTCAACATAACTCAGCGGTCGGTTATTTAGTGTAATCTCGATATCCAGCAGCACTTCTTCCAATTCGTTCCAGGTCAATTTGGACTTCCCCGTCGTTTTGTACAACGCCTGCTTCACTAAACCGACCATCCGTTCAAATTGACCGCCCCACCATGGGGCGCGACTGAGGTTGAACTGCCAGACGATCTTCATTTTTCCAAGCCAATCATGAAGCTGTTCGTCCTTCATAGCCTTCCTCAACCATTTCGCTGCGGCGACGAACGTCTTCCCATTGTCGGAATAGATTTTATCCGGACGACCGCGTCTCGCAATTAACCGTTTGAGGCTTCGGATGCATTCTTCTGTGGTCAAGTTTGGTACCAACTCCAAGTAGATACTTCTTGTTAAACTGCATGCACACAGCAGGATATAGGATTTCTTCTCGTTGTTTTTCGTTGTGCGATACAATATCGGGCCGGCATAATCGATACCAACGACTTGAAACGGCCACGAACCTTCTGTTCTGTCTCGAGGAAGATTCCCAGGGGGTGGTTGAGCAAACGCTGTTACTTGATGTCGTTTACAGCCGTAACATCTTTTGATCACTCGTTTTGTCAAACTTCGCAGCCGTGGAATCCAATAATTTTCTCTCACCGATGTCATTGTGAGTCCAACTCCCCCATGGAGAGTCTGTGCGTGGGCATTCATCACAATCTTTTCGGCTAGCGTGGACTTGTCAGGCAGGAATGTTGGGTAATGTCCCTGAATACGTCCACGACACTCGTACACACCTCGTCCGTTCTTCTGAAGATTGAGTCTCAACTGTTCTTCTTGGAATTCGACGGTTCCTTCATATCTCGCCTGCGTTCTCCTGATCCAGAAATTAACTTGCTCTTCGGTTTCCTCTGTTGATATTGGTCCTTTCTTCCTCGCTAGACGCTTCGCTCGGCAGTTGTTGATAAATCTCACAACCCATGTTGTTATTCGTACCGCTTTCCAGAGCTCGTACTTCTCCATCACTTGATCAAGTTCATCTCTCGGTTCGACTGCCACCGCTAACACTTCGCGCACCGTTTTGACTTCGGACTCTGACTCTGGACTAGGAGTCGTAACAATGTTCTCCGGCCACTCGTCTTTGTTCTGCAACCACTCCGGGCCTTTCCACCAAAGCTCAGATAACTTATCTGCTGATCCACCTCGACTCCCGATATCTGCCGGGTTATCAGTTGTCGGAACATGTCTCCAGTGGATGTACTGCTTCGCCTGGATCTTTCTCACCCTGTTTTGGACAAACTGTTTATAATCTCCGTTGCCTTGTATCCAATACAGTGCAACCGTGCTGTCCAGCCAACAATACACGTCTCGAACTGGAAGAGGTTGCAATGTTTCCTTGATGTTGTGTAAAAGGTTTGCCGACATGTGCCCTGACACCAACTCTAGCCTGGGTATTGATAAATCTTTCTTTGCCAAGCGTGATTTCGACGTTATCAGTCCTTGGTTGACGCACGACTCTTGGTAGACCACGGCATACACAGCTGTAGAAACTCCTTTCTGGCTCGCATCTCCAAAAGCATGAAGATCAATCGCCTTGATATCTTCTCGGTTGGCTGTTAGACTTCTCGGGACTTGGACCTTTCGAGGCAGGCTTTGCACCCAACAGCTCCACTTAGCATTCAGGTTGTCAGGTAGTGGTTTATCCCAACCAATACTCAGGTCACACGCTTCTCTGTACAACATTTTCCCAGCCAAAGTCACCGGCGAAACAAGACCGAGTGGGTCATAGATCTTTGCGATCGCTCCTAGGATGCTTCGTTTCGTTGGTGCGGCAGGTTGAACATCAGGAAATGTTACTCCGATTGTATCTTTACGCTTGTCCCATGCTAGTCCGAGCAATTTTGTCTCACCTTTCTCAACGCCCAGTTGTTCTTTCGCGTAGCTTCGTTCAGGTTCACTCGACGGCTGATTGTTCGTTTCCAAGATTGGTTCATTAGAATGCCACTTGTGCAATTCAAAGCAACCTTCGCCGAGGATCGATATGGCTGACTCTTTCAGGTTTTGGGCTTTGCTCGTCGTTTCTCCACCGCCAATTAGATCATCCACGTACAAACTTCGTTTGATCTCTTCTACGATCTCTGGATTCTCTGATTTACAATTTTCGAGATGCTGTTCGATTACTCCACCGAGTAGGAATGGTGATGATGTCAAGCCAAATGGAACTCTAGTGAATCTCAAAGTTTCGATTTCTTTCGTGTCCGTATCCTTCAACCAATGAAACTTCAGTGCATTTCGATCTTCTTCTTTCACTCGCACTTGAAGAAACGCTTGTTTCAGATCACCAGCGACTGCAATAGGATAAAACCGATTTCGGGTCAAGACACTCCACAAAAGATTCTGTAGGGGTGGTCCTGTCTCCAGACAGTCGTTGAGGGAGGGTGCCTTCTCATATGCCTTTGCCGAGGCATCGTACACGACCCGAACTTTCGAGCTCTCGGCTGTCTCACGCACCACCGGCTTATGTGGGATGTAAAACTCGTTATTCGCTGGGACACTGGATGGAGTGACTTTCTCCACAATCCCCTGGTCGATCTGATCTCGAATGATTTCATCGTACTTGGTCATCAATTCGGGCTGCTTCTCTAATCTCTTTACTAGATTTCCAAGTCGTCTAACACTGCCACGCTCATTGTTTGGCAACGGGGGATGATTTGCTCTCCAAGGGAAGCCCGTTTCGTACCAGCCTTCCGTATTCCTCACCAATTGCTCTTTAAAATCTTCATACACACTGTGTTGATCTCCTGTTGGACGATCTTCCAGTCCTAGGACGTCCATTCTGCACAACATTTCGTAGTCGCAACTCGATGTCTGGGTCATGAACATGTTGGATAAGTCTGCTTCCTTTCCCGGAGACATTATCGTCCAGCCAAGACTGGTCAATTCAGCAACCGGTTCCCCAGCATGTCCTAGTCGTGGTTTCGCTTCCATCTTGATTTGTGCATACTCGCTTGTTCCAAGAATCAAATGAACGGGGAGTTGATCCAGTTTCTTTTCAACTTCATCCATGGTTATCCGCTGTAAGTGTGGGTACTGCTGCAACAGTTGGTCATAATTAGGGTTTTCCAAGTTCAACAAAACTGCACGGTCGACTTTGGTAACTTCGGTCTTAAGGTGAAAGTCTCCCTTCAGATTGCTAATTTCAAGGTTGTGCACTTCGGTCATCTTGTTGACAGTATGCATCATCATCTCGATTCTCCTTGGTTCTTTGCGAATCGGTCGGTTCTTCAATCGGTCAAGTAATGCTGCTGAGGCATACGAGCTGCCGGCTCCAGAGTCCAGCAAGGCGCGACACTTGATTCCACCAGCATTCACTATTACAACCGGGTGGATGACACTACCTTTCCAGCTGCGGTTCTAAGCATTTCCAGGGGGGTGTTGTCGCAGATTGAGGTATGGTGTTTCTTCTTGCAAGATTGGCAAACAGTTTTACTACGACAATCGGCTGCTCTGCGCTTTACTCCAGTGCAATTGAAACACAGTTGTTTGATACTCAGCTGCTTCTTTCGCTCGGCTGTGGTGGTTACTTTATCACAGTTGACAGATTTGTGCTGATCACTCTCGCAGTATACGCATGGTCTAGGTTTCCATTCTTCGTTTTTGGTCTGATAATTTCTCCCACGTCTTCTTCGGTCCATCTGCTCCTTCTCACTCTCTCGATCAATTTGTTTAATTGGGTTTATCTCGGTCCACTTGCGCAGTGCCTCGATCAGGTGTTGAAACTCCCAGTCTTGCCAATTGTCATCAGTGCGGACTAGGTCTCCTCTGATAGTTTCTAGTTTGTCTAGTGTTGCCCGTACGTAGCCATTTACTTCCTTGATTTTTCCCAGTGTTTCCAACGACTGGACGCTAGATACCAGCTTCTCATAAAAATCATGAATTTTTGCTGAGTCAGCTCCTTTGATAGTAGGTAAGGATAAAATACTCAGTACGTACGCATTGACAATCTCACTGGTCTTTCCATATTTAGTTTTTAAAATGTTTTTGGCCCTTTCATACCCCTCAGTTGTAAAAGGTAGTCCGTCTATGGTCGTTCGTACTTTAGGCTCGAGTAATTCTTTTAAATATGAAAATTTGGTTACCTGTGCAACTTCCGCCCTGTCCACTTCCGTTTCGAACTGGCTCCAAAATCTCAGCCAGTCAGTCGCAACACCTTTAAATTTTGTGATAACAAGCTTTGGCAACTTCGTATGGGCCTTCGCTTCATTCTCTTGCTTTTTTGAAGACTCTAATTGTGATTTCTCGAATTGTAGTTTTTGTTGTAATTTAGCCTGTTCGAATTTCATTTCCTGTTCGAATTGTTGTTCTCGTAGCTTCGTCGCGAATTCTTGCTCTT